AACTCTCAACTTCCGATGACAATTTTACCTTTACTTTTTTCCTTTTTCACCTGATTTATTACCTTAATCTACTCTTTGTTTACACGGTAAATGATACTTGCGGTGATTAAAGTGAAAAGGGCAAAAACACTGGCCATTTCCATTATCTTTTGTCAATATTTTCTCTCTGGTCAAGAGTAAAATTTTTCATTTTTCTCATGTTTCTTTTTCGCTGAAAAATCGTGATTCAAAAATATTACCTTTAATCTCTCTCTACTCTTAAGTAAACTTGATGAGACTTTTGACCAATTTTGGGTTAAAAATGAAAATGAAAAGCAAAAGGCAACAAAAGTAAATTAAATGTTGTTGAAACGATACAAAAGCTCAAGATTTAAGATGGACTCGAGTGTATGCAAAAGTAAACTTGAAACTTGTAAATACATATCAATGGACAACAATATCATTGATAAATAGGAAATGACCACTTACCATCATCAATGGTCAACATAAATATTTTGTTTATGACTATTGAAGTGAGTAGTGAGAGAGAGTAAAAAAAACAAACTTTTTATAACAACAACGAATCGAGTAAATCTTTGAGTTATTCAAATAATGACAATAAGTATTATCAATAAATAATAATCACAAGTATGATAATGATTACCAAGTGTTACAATTGCCGTGATAAAAAGTGATCAGAGAAACTGACTGTCAACCTAATCATTTGCGTTTTTGCCGTTTACAGTGAAAAAAAGTTTTTTCTTTCCCTTCGAAGGCGATGAAGAAAAGTTTATTTAAGAGTTTTTGGACATAGAGCAAGGGACATAATAGATCACCCGGAGGTCTCCCAATGGAGAAGAGGGTGTTGAATGAGTGAGAGGGTGGAAGATGAATGAGATGAAAGGAAGAAGGATAAAGCTTAAGATTGTCACTGATTCTATTCACATTGAATGGACAAAAGTGTTTCGTGTTGACAAAAGGTTCACAGGTTCGATCTGGTGAGCCGAGCGAGTTTTATTGTCTAATCTCTCAAAGGACACAAACATTGATTCTCTTTGTTGGAGCAACTAATTTCTGTTTATTCACTGTTTACCATTCCATACCTTTTATCAACTAATCATTTGGTGAATGAACCAATTTTGTTCTCAATTTACCGTTCAACTCTTTTACCCACTATTATGGTCAACCTTTATCGCTTTGTTTTCGTTGTTCGTTTTCTTCTTCTTCTTCTCTCCTCATCTTTCTTCACCTTTTTACCTCTTTTTTTTCCTTCGGACACCTCAACCTTTCTCCTCCCTTTATAATTAGTTAATCTCTTTTCAGCCCTTTTGCCTTTCATTGCAACAATGGTCACCTTTGATCCGATTGAAAATACTTTTAACACCTTTACCTGCAACTTATTTTCATTACCTTTAATCTCTTTTCGTTTTCTTTCTTTGGCAAAAAAAAGAAGAAGAAAACAAATCTTGAAACTTGTTATAAAAGGCCAGTTGAAAGACAGTAAATTGGCCACTAAATTATACGGACAATTTGCATTTTTGTAATCAACTTTGCGTCAACTTTTGAGCCCAGTTTAACACAAAAGAGGTTAAATTGAGTTAAATCGTCTTCGGCTTTCCTTTAGTTGAAATGTTTAACCTAAAAGTGAGTCGAAAGTTTGAGTGAAAATTTGAGTTTTTTTGCCTATTTTCAATTCGGTGACTACTGTTTTTGGCCAAATTTTGATTGAGTTTTGACTTTTTAAACTCGACTTGAGACAAACTTTTGCTATTGGTATTTCAAGTGCATTGCGGTTTTAAATTGGGCAATCATGATGACACAGTTTTTTACGATTGTATTCATTAGTGGATTCAATTGTTGAAAGTTGAGGTTAAAGTTGAATTTGAAAATTGGTTTGCCTCTTCTCAGAGAGAAGAGGTAATATTTTAAATGATAGGTGCGAGTGTTGATAAAGTGTCACGCAAGTTTTTGTTTTTGAAACTCTAGTCTTGAAGTGTAATTAATAAACTGTGATGACATGAAAGACTTGCTGATGATTATTGATTAAACACAATGACAAACGCAACTCTATTTTTTTCAAGTTGACACTGATTTTCAACTGGCATTAGTATTCATAATTGATCAGGTAAGTTTCATAGTTTACAAATTTTGTTTCATTATTCAAAACGCAACCTGTGTTTGTGAGAGAAGAGAATGAAAGTGAATTGAAGATTATCTAAATGAGTTATGAGTCGGACGATGAAACTGATAAACCCTAAATAATGAACAGCAACCAAATCAAAGGCTATTAATTATACTTTGGCTCGATAAATTGACCGAAATCGCGCTTTCATTGATTTAGATTTTCCGGATTCTCCTGAATTCTCAACGATAAGATTTTACTCTATTTTTTGAGAAAAATTATCGTTTTCGAGCCAAGATTTTGGCTGCTTTTTCAGCGTTTCTTCAAAATTTAAAGATCAACTCAGAACAAAACCAAAGTCTGTTTCGATGTATCAAAATACAAAACTCAAAATGCCGGTTTTGGTGCTGTCATTTCAATCTTGATTTGGAACTGATGAACAATACTCATTTTTCAATATTCAAATGAATCTGAAATAAAACGATAAAATTTTTATCGATATCATGCAATGTGCATAATAAGCAGCACTAAAGTGATCAATAAATCAAAGGTTGTTATAGTTATAAAAAGAAGCAAAAAATTGAAAAATGACTTTTTGATAAAATTTAATGATCCAAAATGAGCAGTCGAGAAACTTGACAAACTTGAAGTTTCCAATCTTTTTGTTAACACTTTTGTTGTTGAACAATTGAAATGTTCACTTTTTACACCAACAATTTGACTCACTGTTTTCACAGTTGATCATTTGTTAGGGTTGCTTCTGAGTTCACGTTCACGTTTGCGTTTGCTGTTATTGTTTTTGAATCAACTTCCGTTTGGCATGTAAAGTCCATGGGAAAAATGAACGGAACGTGACATTGCTTAATTTTGTTTGAACGGTAAATACATTATTATACTTTTGATTCATTTGCTGGGCCAACATTGAAGAAACAATTTAAACTTCAATTTTTACCATAATTTTCTTCTTCTCTCTATACACTGATTCATTCACCATTTTCAACTGTTTCATGAATAATTTGTTCAGAAGACGATACAAATGAATGGCTATCACGATATCCAATAATGAAGCATGAAAATGGCAGCAGCACAAGATTATTAAAATGATTATTGGAAAGAAAATCTAGAGAAAAGAGATTCCAATTGAATGTTCAATTGAAATCAACATGATGGATCGAATCAAAATGTTTGTTGTCAAAATGGTTTTTCATGTAAAATTTGATAGAAGCTTCTTTTTTCATCTTGTTTCCCTCTTCTTCATTTACCATTCAAGATATTTAAATTTTTACTCTCAATTTATCAACCTTGAGACTTGTAATTGAACAGTTCAATGATGGAAATGATGATGAATATGATGTGCCAAGGTAAAGAAGGAAGTAAACCTGTGAAGTGGTTAAATATGACAAGCTAGTTAAACATGGTGAGACCCCTTTCCGGTTGAAAGAAGCACACCCAACTTTGAAAAGCTGCCATTATATCTTATCTAAATTATCTTGCTTCAACATTTGACTATTGCTTGGACGGAGCACAGTCAACCTGTTGAGAGATGTTGTTTAACTCCATTATCGTGTTCACCATCAGAATAAGCATCATCATCAATTACACTGTTGTTGACATAGAAACAAAAAAGAAGAAGAAAATTTCCAATTTTTACTGTCAGTTGCAAGTTATCAAAATGTGTCGCCTCTTCTGTAGCACTTCATTTTAGCTCACAACTTTTTGTCCCACGTTTTCAAGTTCAAAAGTAGACTTGAAAGTGAAAGGTTACTGGTGTGCCAAAAGTTACCTCACTTTCAACAATTAAACTTGACAAACTTGACGATGCAACGAAAAGTGTGCAAAATGAGAAAAAAAGGAAAAATATTTTATTCTTTTTTTTGGTTCCATTTTTTGGGTGAAAATTTTTACTAATTTGTCAGGAAAAGGTTAAAGATTGTTCTATTTAATTGAGGATTAGAAAAAAAACAGGGAACATTACAATTTTGATCAACTTTTTCATCCAATTTCTCGAAAACTGGCGTCTTGAAGGGAAATTTTTTCTGCCACTTTCAACTCATTTCTCTTCACTTCTGCTCAAACTGATAACGAATAGTCGAGTTCGCTGTTCGGTAAAAGCTATGCTGAAGGTTTTGGTGAAATTTCACTCAATCGATGGATGCTTTTATGACAAGCTTTTGATCTATTTGAATGTGAAAAATCAGATTTTGAAATTTAAAAAAATTAAGACCGTTTCGAACGAGATGAAAGAACATGGTTTTTCTTTGGATTTTAAAAGTTTGTCAACTTCGTCAACCGAGGAAGATCTTTACCTTTACATAACGATTGTAACGATTGATTCCATTGTATACAAGATGGCAATCGCAGATATAAAACTCAACTGTCTTCATTCGCCCTCAGTGCCTCAAAATATTAGTCAGTAAACAAAGAGTTTTATGATTTTTGAACAAACGAAAAAAAGTGTCTCAATCGTTCTGGTGTTTCGCTCATTCACTCATAATGTCTCGAACAAGCGAGCTTTACTGTAATAAAAATTTAAACTTTATTCAATAAACTGCTGCAAAAGAAGGCCAAGGGATGAAAGTTGATCTGAAATCAATTATAACAGTAGCATTATTGCTTTTCAGTCAACAGTAAACTAGACTCTACTGGAAACCTTGAACGGTCTTTGAACTTTTTTAGCTGATGATGGTAATTCTGGTGATTCTGAAGATGCTGGCTGCAGTTTTATTGATAATGATCATGCAGGCTACAAAAGCTGAACTGAGCAGAAGATATGAAAGGAGAAGAGAAGAGAGAGAGAGAAGGAGACGATTTTCTCTATTTTTTCATTTTATTTCATTTTCTGTGCTTGCATATTTTTACATTATCTAATCAACATTTTGGCTCTTTTTCCTCCTCTCAGATGGACCACAATCTTTACTCTCTCAATTTGGCAAAAGCACAGCGTGGGAGATGAATGAAGAGAAGATTAAGATAAAAGAAAAGAAAAGGATGAGAATCAAGAATCATTTTCCTTCCCTGAGGGTGAAATTAAAAAGGTAAGATAAGGGAGTGTGGACAGTATAACGAGTGGCCAGAACGATACTCAGGTAATAATAGGTTAGGTTAAATTTTCAGGCTTCATCGTTTTTCATTTCTTCTTTACGCACGGCACGCCTAAGATGATCCTTTTTAATAACTTACATTTCTAATATTAATAATATTCATAAAACACACACACACACCATTTCAAGAAAATTCAAAGAATCAGTTTTCTTGTTATTCATCATGAGAGACGCCAAACATTGTGCCTCAACATTGTGCCTTTTTTTAAGGGGGTTCAATCTCAAAAGACAGATGAATGGCTATCTTGATCTAATCATAACCAGCAACATCAAACTCAGATGCATTACCAACATGTCCAATGGCCCTTAGCACACTCTGCACTATTTAAATATCATCATCATATTGTAACGTGCAAAGCGGGTTTACCGTGAATCATGATGCAAGTTGAAATGTAAGAGACAACTTTATTATCTGAGCGTGGTGAAACAAAGTCAAGATTTTAACTCAGATATTCCTATTTGAAAATCTACTTTTGATGTTACCAAGATATCTAACGAACTAAATATTGTAACAATGAATATGTCATATTGAAATAAAGGTTTTATCAAATTTTCAAGGTCATCAGAGGTCATTTTTCGTGAATTTCACCTTCGAATTTGAGTCATTTAAAAATTTTCAATGCATTTTTCGATATTCGCTACTGTCAATCATTATATCACCGATGCTTATCGAGATAAGGCTCAAATCTCGAAAAGGCTTAAAGACAAAAATGTCAAATTGAAGTCACTCCTCCAGTTTTTTGTTTTTTTTTGAGTGCTGACATCTATGTGAACTAAAGGGGAAGTAATTAAATCTTGTATTGAAACGGTTGATCTAATCCAATGATTTCCCGCTGAAGGAAAAGGGTGAAAAGGCTCAAGGTGAATCACTCTGATTTAATAATGCAAAATCCATTTTCCCCCTGCAGCTCACATAGATGTTATCGCTCCAAAAATACAAAAAAAAACTCGAGGATTGACTTTATGTGTAAAGACAATTTATGAATTTACAATTTAAAATGACCGCTCAAAAAGAGATCACGTATTGAAAATTACAAGGAAGTGACATCTTTATGCAGAAGTCACAAGCTGGGCAGAGGGAATAGTGTCCAAAATGAAAATATGATATTATAGCTGAGATGAAATATCTTTCTAAATATTCGCCAATATTTGCGTTATAATATGATCTTGAATTTTGATCTTTTCGTTCAACTCAATGGGAAATTTTCATAGAAATCAAATAAATTTCAATCATGTTAATCGTCTAACAAGTAAGTTGATGCATTTGTTTCATCTCAATAACATTACACCAATGGTTGAAGTGATTTTGCTTTACGATGTTACTTCAAGGCAAATTACCACTTTTCAAGCTCAAAGTGTTGAGATAATCTTTCCTTTCCCATGTAATTTCAACATTTTGCCTTTCATTTACTAATCAGTTTACTATTTTATCAGTCAATTCGCTTTTACTTTAATCTTTCACCATGATTAATGTTGAGGGAATTTGATGATCTGTGAAAAAAGAGGGAAAAATAATGTTGTGATATAATAAAGGATAAAGCTTGAATGAAAAGGGGACCAAAAATGGACTTGTCGATTGGAAGCAAAAGCAACATTACCTGTGAACATTTTTCTTGTTTCCGGAACTTTAATCATTAGCTTGTCATTATTTGTAACATTTAGTTAAGTCCAGTCGTTAAAATGAAACTTTGCAAGACTGTTTTTTTTCCATCAACATTGATGACCAAAACAAGTCGAGAAAAAAAACAGTTAATTCACACAGATTTATCTAATGATCAATGGAATCATCATGAGAGTAAAGTTAAACTCTTAACAAAATTTAGCCACCATGAACACGTTGAACAATTTACCAGAAAGAAGAAGAAGAAAAACTCTCAACCAACCTTCAGATGAACTGTAAAAGGACAATTGAACAATAAGTTAAGTAATTGGTTAAAGAAACTATTAGTTTAATTAACAAAAGAGAGCAAATTGACTGCGCGATTACCATCAATGAGTTTCATGAGTTTCAAGATGATAATCAGTAAGAACGCAAAGAGAAGCAAAAGTTGAATTAAAACATTTAATGGTTGTCAATCGAGTTGATTGCAAAGGCAATAAAAGGCATTTCGAGTCCATTAACTGGTACAACAAACAACATCGGCAACACTGAAAACAAAACCAAAAAACTGGTCAATTGAGTCAACAAGGAGAAGCAAAAATTTGACAAAATTGGGTTTCATTGAAATCACATTTACCAATTCAAGTTTTACCATGAAAATGACGCTCTTATAGGGAGTTAAAGATTGGATAAAATAATTTCAATGATTATGGTAAAGCGTGGTCAAGATGATCGATAGTCCTTTGAAAAGGGAATCAGTTTTGTTGATTTCCAGTTCATTCTTAGCCATCATTTAGACCAAGAATAAACTTTTCTCTAGTTTTTCATCTTTTCTCATCTTTTCTCATCTTTATTGTCTCTCCCTGTTTCATGTTATTATTTTGCTCTTTTCTTCTTTTTCGCCCTTCTTTTCATTTCTTTTCCCAACAACCAAAAGACTGACTTTTCAACTCAATCGTGTGATTGGTCATGATGATCATCAAACAGAGAGGAGATGATGATGATGAAAAATGAGACTATTATCTAATATAAAAATGTTGATCCAAGAAGAAAATTGTTTGTTAATATTTCTCTCTCTCTTCTCAAACTCATCCTACTTTCTTCCCAAGTCACTGTCTTTGTCTTCCTTATCATCATCGCCATCTAATGTCACCTTCTGCTCTTCACCACAGGTTTCCTCACATCAACCATCGCCCCATCCTTTAGCATAAATCACATCTTCTCTTCTCTCTCTTTTCATCTCTTCTCACCTCATCCCATTCTTTTACATAATCTTTTTCTTCCGTCTTTATCTTCATCGCCAATGACAAGGACACACTATCGTGTGCCTTTCCGCCTTAAACCCACACCAAGGCATCAACTTGAAACTTAAAATTGAACAAATAAAAGTCAATATGAGAAACGATCTTACCAACTTATTAATCCTTTACAATTCTGATTTATTGCCTGGAAAAGACTTTTTTGTTGCCTTTTTTTCCAAAAGAATCTCAACTTTATCCCCAAACATGTTATCATGTCTCTTCTCATTCAAAGCCTTCTTCTCATTTTTCGTTCATTCATTGCCTCATCTTTACCTTTTCATCTTCTTCTTCTTCTTCCAGTTTGCCTCTTTTGTTTCCTATTCTTACCTTTCTTTTCTTACCTTTTAACAGTACATTTGAATCTTTTTCAAGTTAATCATAATTTACTTGAATTGCCTCTTGCTCCAACCAAACCCTCAATTTGATTTAATTACAAAAAAGTAAACTGTAATTGTTTCTTAATAGCAAAAGTAATCAAATGTTTCAACCTGCCTGGTAGATCAACAGGTTCAATTTGGCTGAAGAATGAAGAAGAAGAAAAAGGTTCAACAACTGAACCAACTGGGAGTGAAAATGAGAAGAAAAATTATATCAAAAGGAGAAAAGATAATTAATGAATTGAGCGGAGCAATTTTTCAACTCAATCAATGAAATCTTTGATTACTTTTCCAAACCATCAACGGCAAAATTAATCAAATTTGTTCATTAAAATTGGCCACTTTTTACCAGCTTCTAAACTTGAATCTCATGAAAGGAAAAAGAAAATGTAATTCATGGAAAAAGCTTCTTTTGTTTCTCAGCATTTGTTGATATTTGATAGTTTCATTAAGAGCAAACAATGAACAACAAAAAAATGATTACAATTAAGAATAAAATTTAGCGAAAAGTATTGAGCACAAGATGCGCTCAATGAAGCCGAGATAACGCTATGAGTTCAATTGAATTTGCGCAAAGTTCGTGTTGATTCAATTTACCCTTTGTTGCTGCGCATGATAATGCTCTTTACCAACGAATAATCCAAATGAATAAAAGATGAACAAGACGAATTGAGAAGAACGTCTCAAACGTGTTTTCATGAATAGATTGAGATCGAAAGATAAGCGGCTGATATGGAAACAGTTAATGTTTGACAAGAACGTCAAATGAATGGACAAAAACATGAAGAATGGCCTTAATCGTTATTAATAGACTTTCATCAACATTAACCAATGAACTTAATTGTCTTTGTCCAAGTCTCTCACCTTTCGAGTTTCAGTTTGCAGTCATTTTTAGTTTTTACTTTTAGCCTGGTTTCTGCTGCCTTCTGACTTTGAAATAATTGTTATTCAGATCCAGTCGTCAAAAAGGTTTCCCTTTTCAAGGTTGACTGTTATCATCTGATGTTACCTGAAGTCGCCTGTGAGAGAGTCATTATATCAAGGAAGTCTCACTTTCATCTTGTAACAAACAAATAACATTCAAACTAAATGGTTAAATGTAACAATTAATATAAATAATATTTCCATTTAGTCTCGTTAACTTTGCGTCTCAACTTCAATCGCAAATAAAGACAAAAAACACATTTCGTTTCATCAACTTGACAACGTTCATGATGATCAAGTAGAGATGAAAAGGCCTATAACAGTGAGCATTGACTGTTAGTACAGAAGCAAGAAAAAAAACGGGAAATGAAAATGTTTGTTGCAAGTGTTTTGTGAGTAAAAAAAAGTCAAGTATTGAGTTGAAGATACGTTGGGATAGTTAAAAGGTCAGCTTAATGCAAGATTGGTTACTGGGAAATAGGAGGTTATCAAGTGCTTACAGAGGATGATTATGATGAAGGATCAAAAGAAATGTACCTATAGAGAAAATGTGTTTTTTTCTTCTTCTTTTTTCTTTTCTCTCACTATTTGGATGAAACATGATGATGATGATGATGAACAAAAGATGAAGTTGCCAATCAATATTGGATAGATTTCATCCTATATAGAAAATGCTTGTAAATCTGTTGAATTTTCTGCTTCTCATCAACTTGAAAAGACGAATCAACAAAAGCAACTTTTCTCGACTCTTTAGTTCATTGGAAACTTGTGAATCTTTTTTTGACCCAAAATTTGGATTTAAATTTTTGCTCCTCAAAATTCAATTTCGGGCCGATTCGCTCGTATTTTTACCCTTTCATCAACTCAACTTGAAATGATTTCTTCTTATTTCTTGATTTTGGTTTATTTTTTCTGACTTTTTTTCATCTTCTTCTTCTGTTCCTGTCATGGTGAAACAAAATGCTGTTTACAGGGTAAAATGAATTGACATGAAATCGTGACTTTTCAGGAAAAAAATACAACTGAACACAAGAAAGGCAAATTTTGCAAGAAAAATTTACTTGAATGTTTGAGAGAGAAAAAAAGTGGAAAAGAAGAAAAGTTCTTGGCATTTTCAATCTTTTGGCCTCTACATGATGAAGAATTGTGATGGAATAAAATTTATTCCCAAATATCATGTGATTGCTAATTTAAGGTAACCAGGGTCAGGATTACAGTAAACTTTGAGGTGAACAAGAAAAAATTAATGCTCAGGAAATCATGAAAAAATTTGGATTAAATGTTGAAATGTTTTGAGCAGAAACGGGAAAAACCTCAAAATGAATAAATAAAAATTAAAAAGTTTGACATCAAAA